GTGTGTGTGTGTGTGTGTGTGTGTGTGTGTGTGTGTGTGTGTGTGTGCTATAGACATGATGTAACAGACTAGAGCATAAAAATAACCCATGCAAATTGGTTTTCTTGACTGAAGTCTGGAGAAAACACCAACATGATGGCATTTGATTTAATGACAGTAAACAGTGCTCTTCTGCTCGCAGAGAAGGTGATACTGGTGTCACAGCCTGCAGTGCAGCATACTGACTGTGTGCTCAGATTAAAACATGTGTTCCTGCAGCTAAAGAGTACGGAAAAGACATTGTGTGCCCTCTGCTTAACGTCTGGCAACCTACACGTGTTCAAAAAAATCCTCTTTTTTTTACTGCACATCTATTCTTCCCTCAACTTTCTTATCGAGCAACAGATTTTTCATTTTCTGCTTTTTCTTTTTCACCCCTCCATGAATTTTCTGTCAAATTGAGATGATCCCTGTTTGCCGGTAATGCCATTAAGTTGTCTCTCCTAAAGAAATGTTGGAACACGCACCGCTCTGTGACAAGTAGGGTTTTTATCATCTTGACAAATTACCAGCTCTCCGCCGAACCTCCTGTCCATTAATAGGACGGGAAGACGTCCACCTTACAGTTTTCTGAAGAGGGGATAATTACCACCTTGCACGTGGCTTCGTGTCATCGGTGACTGAAAGGTTTTTGTTCTTTTCACGCACTCGTGTCTCTTTCTCCGCGTTTGGACCTGCTGAACTCGAGTTCCAGCATCAAGTCAGAGCTGAGTGAAGATTTACCTTTGAATATCTCTCATTTAATCCAATCCAATGTTTTAGTTCAGTCAGACTCCTGCTCATTTTACCTCCTGACATGCAGACATTTTAATTTAAAAATCCTCACTAACTGATTTCCCTGACTTTACTCCTATTTGTTATCTGAAGAGAAGTCTTTGTCTTTCATTGGATTTTTATGGTTATTCTTCAAAAGGACGTACAGAAAGTAGGTCCTTTAAGAGGATTCCTATATTGCAACACTTTGAGCAAAATTCTTTTAAATTACAATAATTTGGTTCTTTTGCATCTTTTCACTGCAATCAGTTTTTCAATTTCTTCATTGCAGGACCCAAAGAATTTCAGAAAGGCAAGCATAAGAAGCCTGCAGGAGCTGCACTAATAATGAGTCTTCAACAAGATGTGTCACATTTAATCAAACAGCAATCAAGCAACTATTTAGGTGCAAAGTCCTGATTGGACGTCTGATGATCCACTGCGATTGGTCAAAAAGAGAAAAAGCAATGAAAGGCTTTCTTTCTGCATCTTGATTTATGAAGTGTTTCCTTTGATCCAGGAAAGCATGCAGCTCAACCGTTTTTTATTTTTTATTTTATTTTATTTTTTGTGGCTATAACAACGTTGCTCGGAGGTACCCGCACAAGCCTGAAACTTTTTTTCTAATTTGATTACACGGTGAGGGAGACAGGGAGAATATAAAAACTCAAATAAATTGCTAAACTGATGTCAAGCAGTTCTGGTTCATGCTGAACAGTTTTGCTCCTGGCTGAGATTAAAAG